AAGGGAGAGTGGGGAGTGTCTTTCTCCTTCTCAGTCAGGGGCCACGTCAATGATGGTTTGTTTTTTGTTTTGTTTTGGGGTTTTTTTGCTTCTCATTTGTGTGTGACCCCCAACTCATTTTTCTGTGGGTCAGCTGCACCTGACTCAAAAAAAGTTCTCCACCCCTAAAGGAACCGTGTCTTGGTCTTACTGCTGACCACACATGAAGCAGTAGCAGGAATAAGCCTCAGGGATTAGAGCACTGTTGCTGGGAGAATTATTTTATTAAATCTACAGAGTTCGTGGGGGGAGGAGGAGGCAGAACAGTGCAAGTTAATCGAGAAAGGTCTAGTTTTCTGAAGCACACCCACAGGGCCCACGCACACCCCGATGAAGTCAATGGGCGCTGTTGGTGATGAGCGCCTCTGACAATCAAGCCCTCCATAAACAAGGGAATTACAGCTGTCTATAGTCCAGGTTCTTTCTTACTCCATTGCCATTCCTCGCAGTGCCAAACGGGCTGGGCTGGCACACACACACACATGCTGAGAATGACAGGCTTTTGTTTATCAGCTGAGGGGAGGCTCCAGGCAGGATGGGATTGGTGGAGACTATTGCCAATTCAGACTGCATCTCTGCTAGAAGCACTATGGCTACAGTGTAGACTTTTCCTAGGCTGTGTCTACACTGGCCACTTATTCCGGAAAATCAGCCGCTTTTCCAGAATTACTTGCCAGCTGTCTACACTGGCCCCTTGAATTTCCGGAAAAGCACTGACAATCTACTGTAAAATCATCAGTGCTTTTCCGGAAAAACTATGCTGCTCCCGTTCGGGCAAAAGTCCTTTTCCAGAAAACTGTTCCGGAAAAGGGACAGCGTAGACAGCACAGATTTCTTTTCCGCAAAAAAGCCCCGATCGCGAAAATGACAATCGGGGTTTTTTTGTGGAAAAGCGTGTCTACATTGGCACGGACACTTTACTGGAAAAGTGCTTTTCCGGAAAAGTATCCTGCCAATGTAGATGCGCTTTTTCCAGAAATACTTATAACGGAAATCTGTAGACACAGTGTAGACACAGCCATTGTGTTTATTATGACGTGCCTAAGGACACAGAAGGGGTCTTCGGTTGCTGTGGTAATGCTGCAAATGTTTTACACCCCTGAGCCACGTATTTGGGTCAACCTAACTTTCCAGCATAGCACAGTGTGTAGGTGCAGAGAAAAACCTCTGCCAACAGCCTATTACATTTAGGGGCAGTGAGGAGGATAGGGCTCTTGGCATTAGGAAGAGGGCAATGGGAGATTTTTAGACAAAGAATAGAGGCACTGGTGTGCTTGTCAGTGAGGGCCAGGAAAGGTTTCTCCAAGTGGTGGGGGCACTGGATGAGGTGGCACAGGGAGGGGAAAGGTGCTTAGGGAGGGCTGGCTGCTCAAGCTCTTCTTCAAAGTGTGTGTGTGGAGAAAAGGGAAGGGATAAGGGGCTCTGGAGACGGGTGCGCTGACAGTGCAGACACCTTGTAGTGAGGCAGAGTGACCTTCCTCTGAGCCTGAGGGGGAGGAACTATCCCATGCCCCCTCGTCAGCAAAGCCCTTTCCCCTGTGCCAGAAGCAGAGGGGTAGGACCAGACAGGCCCTGCAGCTCAGTTGCCCAGCTGTGCCCTGCCCTGCCGCTAGAGGAGACTGCCTGTGGTGGAGGGGAAGTGCTGGGACTGCTATCCACCATGTACTCTGAGGAGACTGAGAATCCTGGGCTATGGAGCCATGCTAAGGATGGGAGATAGGAAGTAGGCCCCGGCAACTGGACATTAGTCCGTTTGTGTTGTGGGGAGATGAGTCAGCGTGTTTCGATAACTTCCATGCTGACCAGGTGGTGGGACCCCCTGACCATGCTAGGGCCCTGGTCTGGGAGCCGGTGGAGTTGTGTGGGTCTGGCTACCCAAACCCCCTGCTGCCAAACCCACCGCAGGGAAGTTTAGGCTTAGGCTGACCGTAGGCTAGCAGGCCTGTGCCCTGTTTCTGGCTTGTCCCAACCAGTAGACTGTAAGCTCCTAACCCAGTGGGTCCCCAAATTTGGTGGGTCACACTCCCCCATGCCCCTGTTCACACACACTCTGAGCCAGGCCTGGGAGCAGGGCCTGCAGCTCCGGGGGAGGGAAGGGGAGGGCATGGATAGAGCAGGGCTGCAGAAGGGACTAAGGCTGGGAGAAGGGGTGGGAGCGGAGCTGTAGCAGGCCACAGTGAGGACTGGTAGCCAGACACACAGCCAGGGCAGAGGATGGAGATCGTCAGGCACAGGGACGGGAGTTGGGCCACAGTTGGGAGTGGGGCAGGAGTAGGTGGCACTCCTTCATGGGGGCTGGCTTGGGCCTGCTATGACCCCCACCCAAACATTCCTGTGCACCCATGAGGCAGTGAGCTCCCCACAGTTTGGGGACCTCTGCCCTAGACCCTGACAGCTGTCTGCAAAGCTAAAGACTGAGCTCCAGATGAGAGGGTGTTAATTGCTGTGTACCCAAGCAGGGAGGCTTTGGGCTAAAAACTGCTCTTTGGTCTGTTCCGCCCAGAGGGCCAGAGCTACAGACAGTGTAAAATGTCTCTTGGGCTAAAGAGTCCCTGTTACTCTGTCCTGACCAGAGGGCTAAAGCCCTAGCCAGCTAATTGACTGCTTACAGCTAATTGACTGCTTGATGTTGCGAGGCAGGGTGGCTTCTCTCTGAGGCCTGGGGAAGACAACCACTGAACCACTACACATCACAACTAATGTTCCCTCTATTTTTTTCTGTCCAGGTGAAGAATAAATTTTGTTATATGCATTGAGGCAAGTGTGGAAACTTGTGCTGGTGGCTGTGGGCGCTCTGCCAATCAGCTGAACAGCATTTGAATCTCTCTGGGGCAGCCTCCCAAGCACTCAGCTTACAGGGAACACTGACCACAACAGCAAGGGGCCTTTACACACTTGTCTAGGACCAACTATGAGTGAGAATTCTGAAACACTGGGGACCCAAGGTAGCTGTTGTACATACTACACAAGGACAGGTTTGGGATCGATTAAATGAGGATTGGCTAGAACTGCAGGCTGACTCATTCTGTTAGGCCACAAGCCAGGGACAGTATGGGTGAGGGCAAAGTGTGAGGATGTCGTGCAGTGCAACATGAAGTGGAGAGATGGCAGAAACAATTCCCCATCCCTAGTATAGTGATGGGAAAGCTGAGGAGTAAAGAAGCAGTAAAGCTGAGGGCTAAGATGGAGGAGGAAGAAATGCACTTGCTGGTAGATTTACTAATTTGAGGGAGACATGGGTGTTTGCTCCAGCCACCCCATTCCTCCTACTATGACCCTGACTGCTGCTGACAGTGGGGGCAAACAGCAGCTCAGAAGATACCTTACCGAGGATTATAAGAAAAATTCCAATCACCACCTGGAAAAAGAGTGAGATGCTGATGAGCGATATCAGGGTGGCATAATACTGGAATGAAACCCCCTGCTCCAGCACTGCTTTGAGTTGTGTGACATTGGCCATGAACAGCGCCACATCCAACATGCTTTCGGCCACGCTCTTCTTTGTTGCATAGTGGTTGATATTGATTGTATTGTCCCTCCTTGGTCCAGGATTCCCTGTCTGGGGAGAAGAGAGAGTGACATCAGTAAGATTCCTAAGCAGACTGGCCAGTGGATCCCACCTTGAATATTAGCCCCGTCAAGGGGTTCAATCTAGAAAGCTTTCAGAAGGGACATACCACGAACCTGAAAGGCAGCAAATTGAAAACTATTAAAGGAATCCTCCCCTCCCCCCATTAGCCTATGTATCTCATTGCCACCAAATAATAGTGGAGACTATAAGAATAGCAAGATTAGAAAAAGAATTGGACATGTGTGTGATTAATAAGAATTGCCAGTCTTAATCATAGAGATTAACTAATCCCAGGAGTTTTGAAAGAGATATTTAACCCTGATTCTTCAAGGCAAAAATGCAACCTAAAATGAATGGGTGATTAGGGAGCAATATTCCCTGTGGATACGGTAATCCAGGTGTGACTACAGTAGGATTCTTACATCTTCCTCTGAGGCATGTGCTGCTGGCTGCTGGCAGAGACAGGATACCAGACTCTATAGGTCTAGAATGGGTCTCATCCAGTCTGGCAATTCCTAGGTTCCTCTCCTTGAAACAATTGCACTCTGATCATCCATACCATCAGCTGTTCTAAAACATGGACACACAAGGTCTGTAGATGTATGTCAGCCTTTGCAGGGAGCAGCAAAAGCACTGGACAATGGGTACTCTGGTCAATATACCACTAGCCAAACTCAGTCAGAGGAGCTAGAACTTGCATTCTGTGAGCTATGACTTTGTAGTGGACATGAAGGCGACTGTAGGATGAGGCATTTTAGGGCTTTCTGGGCCACATCTGGCCTGCAGATTGCACCATTGGCTATCCCTGACTTAACAAAGAGTACAGAAGAGAAGAGAGCCACCTACTCCTTCACCCCATCAGCTCCTTCCTCTCCCTTGCCTTTGTCAGCCATCTTGACTGAATTCTGAGTTCTGCAGCCTGTGTAGACTCACTGCCCTGACCCAAATGGACACAGGTACAGGAGAGTGCAAGAAAAAGAAGCGTGGGGGAGGAAATAATGATTTTTAATTGAATATTCATTAGGAGCATAGTGACATGGTAGCAAATCTCAAGTGAAGGAAAGAACTGAAATCCTGAAGGATCTCCATTTATCAGCAGGACACCAGAACAAAGTAAAGAAAAAACATAACTAATTTAAATCAGTAGCATATGGGGCTGGAAAACACAGACTGTTTCTCACCCATATCCACCAGAGCCTTAAGACAGCTGGAAAACCAGCCACCTCATGATTTTCTGACTATGTGGCCTTTACTGAACTCCCTATGTGAACACCTTAACTAAACCTTTCCTAATGGGCTCTTTCATTAGCTGGCCCTTTAAATCTATGGAAGAAAGTCGGCCACAGCCTGAAGAGGATAATTTTAGCTTTTTGCTGTAGGCTGTTGAGTGGGCTGCATGAATGTCCTTCCTTCATCTTAGTGGGCCAAAAGATTGTTGTAACGAAGACAGTCTCCTAGGATAGGGTCGTTTTTGCTAACTACACTTGAACAGTGTTCCCTCTAAACTGCCTGGCAGCACAGCTTCACTGGTGATTAATCAGCCCTGCCCAGACAGAGGCTCAGGGCTCTGTGTGGGGAGCTGACTGACTGACTGACTGACCAGGCCTGATTAATCCCCTGTGAAGCTGTGCTGCCCCACAGTTTAGGAGCAATAGTGCACCTGAGTACCTAGAATTTACAGGCTGTGCCGACGGAACCGTAACACAGAAACAGATTCTACCTGCATCTGGTTGACCTGGAATCATGTGGGACCCAGCACACTGGTGGCCATACAATCAGGGTACTGGCCCAGGGTAAAGCTAACATGTTTTGTTCCATTTATATGGTTTTTATCTATATTTTTCTCCCATTCTGGAGGAGGCAGCACATCCTCTCAGTGGGATGACACTAGGCATTGATAGCTTCTCTTGTGTAATGATGAGTTACGGATATGAGAACAATGAAGCTCAGCAAACGAGACTGCTTCTATCAAACCAGTGACTGGCACAAGTAGGCCGAGCCATCTGCTTTTAGTCACTTACCCAGAGACAAATAAAGCACATTGGTTGGTCTTTTCAAATGAAAACATTTCCTTTTTTACTCTGGTGTGGAACACCCTTTAGCTTGAATGAGAAATCATAGAAATGTAGGGCTGGAAGGGACCTCAAAACATCATCTGCTCCTGTCTAAGTTGTGCTTAGGCATGACCAAGTAAATGGAGAAGACCATCCCTGAAAGGCACTTGTCTAATTTGTTCTTAAAAATCTCAAATGACAGAAATTCTACAACCTCCCTTGGATTCCAGTGCCTCACTATCCTTACAAATTAAGCCAGTTACTTCTTGTTCTACATCAATGGATAAGGAGAACAGTCAATCACTGCTCTTTATTACAGCTCTTAACATATCTGAAGACTGTTATTAGGTTCCCCCTTCTTCTTCTTTTCCCAAGGCTAAACATGCTCAGTTTTTGTAACCTTTTCTTGTAAGTCAGGTTTTCTAAACCTATCACTTTGGTTGCTTTCCTCTAGACTTTCTCCAATTTGCCCACATCTTTCTCCAAGTGTGGCATCCAGAACTAGACATAGTTCTCCAGCTGAGCCCTACCAGTGCTGAAAAGAGCAGGAAAATTACTTCCCTGGTCTCACATGCAACACTCTTGCTAATACATCCAAGAATTATTTTAACTTTTTTTTTTGCAATGGCATCACATTATTGCCTCATAGTCAATTTGTAATTCACCATAACTCCCAGACCCCTTTTAGCAACAAGAAGACACACCCTATTTTGAAGCTGTGCATTTGATTTTTCCTTCCTAAATGTCACATGCTGCACTTGTCTGTATTGAATCACATCTTGTTGATTCTAGACCAGGTCTTCAATTTGTACAGGTCACTTAAATGCTAATTCTGTCCTCCAAAGTGCTTGCAACCCCTCCCGACTTGGTGTTGTTCACAGATTTTATGAGCATATGCTCCACTCCATTATCCAAGTAATTAATGTAAATAATGCATGGTACCGAACCCAGGACAGACCCCCGTAGAACCTCATTAGGCAATGTCTCATCTGACAGTGAATCATTGATAAATATTCTTTGAATATGGTCTTTCAGCCAATTTTCCACCAACCTTATATTAATTCCATCTATATCACATTTTCTTCATTTGCTTATGAGAATGTCATGTGGGACTGTGCCAAAAGCCTTATTAAAATAAAAAAATGTTATGCCTACCATTCCCCTATTCACTAGGCCGGTAACCATGTCAAAGAAGAAAAATTGGTTGGTTTGACACAATAGAATTTTGACACATCCATGTTAGCTATTATTTATAATCCTTATATCTTTTAGGTGCTTCCAAATGGATTGACGGGTCTACAGTTCTCTGGGTCCTCTTTCATCCCCCTTTTTAAATGGATGAGACTAGCATGGTGCATTATGGAAAGGTAATGAGCTATATGTGTTTGGAATGGGTATAAAATACACACAAGCAACTTTTTTTCTGTCTCGTTAGGACCAAAAACAAGACTATGTCTCTCATAGGTGCCCACACACAGGGTACGTCTACACTGCAGAGTTTTTACGCAAAAATGTCTGGTTTTGCTCAAAAATTTGCTCAAAAATTTGCTCAAAAAAACAAGACTATGTCTCTCATAGGTGCCCACACACAGGGTACGTCTACACTGCAGAGTTTTTACGCAAAAATGTCTGGTTTTGCTCAAAAATTTGCAGTCGCAAAAATTTGCAGTCGCTTTTGTGCAAAATCTTGCCACCTGTCTACACTGGCCGCGAGGATTTGCGCAAGAACACTGACATTCTAATGTACGAAATCAGTGCTTCTTGCACAAATACTCTGATGCTCCCGCTCAGGGATAAGCCCTCTTGAGCAAGTATTCTTGCGCAAGAGGTCAGTGTAGACATGCAACGTTAATTTATTGCGCAAGAAAGCCCGATGGCTAAAATGGCCATCAGAGCTTTCTTGCTTAAGAGAGCGTCTACATTGGCATGTGCTTTTGTGCAAAAGCATCCGTGCCAGTGTAGACGCTCTCTTGCGCAAAAACTTTTAACGGAAATCTGTTAAAAGTATTTGCGCAAAATCATGCCAGTGTAGACGCAGTCCAAGGCTACGTCTACACTGCAGGCTTCTTGCGCAAGAACTTTTTGCGGAATAGCTCTTCTGCAGAAAGTTCTTGCACAAGAGCGTGTCTACACTGCCATGTGCTTTTGCTCAAGAAATGTGTTTTTGCACAAGAAAAAGTACAGTAGATCATCAGAAGACAGGGCTTTTTATGCAAGAGTTATTCCTGTTTCTACGAGGAATAAGCTTTTTTGCACAAGAGCTCTTGCGCAAAATGGCATGTGTGGACAGTCAACAGGGGGTTCTTGCACAAGAAACCCCTTTTGGAAAAAGCACAGGTGCTCTGATGGCCATTCTGTGAATGGCCATCAGAGCTTTCTTGCGCAAGAGCATCCATGGCAGTGTGGATGCTCTCTTGTGCAAAAACACACTTGACTCACTGCCAAAGGTATAGATTGTCCAATCGGTGCTTCCTCTTCTAGCTCTGTGGATTTGTTTATGGACGTTCTTTTAGCCCTTGCTTAGCTCATCACTGCAGTGTAAGCAAAATGTTCATGCTTGCATGCCAAAAGTTAGGCTCCGACCAATAGCTATATTTAGGCAACTAAATAAATAACTTGAGTTTTCAGAAATGCATTGACTGAGTTGCAGGAACTCAGTGCATTCAGGTTTTGGCCTTTATAGAGGATTCTGGCCATTACAACAGTAATACCAATCTTTCCTATAAACATTTGGCTAGCTCTGTTATATTTGCTTGCAGGATAAAGATAAAGACCACCCTGGAGTGACTTCAGGGTTGTCTCTTTACTCTGGGTTTCCTGACAATGTGAGGCTTATCAAAGCCAGCAGCCCCTTGAGATAAAGCAAAGCCAAGTACATGCAAAAGGGTTCACTGCCATATTTTATATGTTGACTTGAAAGAACTGAGCCCTTGT